AAGAGGCGCAAGTGAAATTATAAACAGTCGTCAGACAACATGCAGTAATTAATAAATCCGTCACCTCTGGTCTAAAGTGTAAAAACCAAAAAGAAGAATTCACTTATTGATATTAACTTTTTTTGCTTTAGATATTTATCTTTTTATACTTTGTACCAACTATTGAACCTAACAGATGGACATTGGATAACATCTGTGTATTGTCATGCTATCAATGAAGTGCATTTATATCATTACAGCAGGATTCCAGTGAGGTTAAACGGTCTTTGTTGTTTGTTTGGCTCCCGACTGGAACGGATAGAAATAGTTGTTTGATGGAGATGGTAAAGAAATAAATACATTCTTTACTTAAAATTTAAAAATGCTGAGAGAAACACAAATTAGTTTGTTTTTTTTATTTATCAGTTCATCAGACTTCCAGGATTCGTCTTCAATTGTTTTCACAAAGTACCTTTTTATAAAAATTGTTTGAACTGTGAATTTTTATGGAGCGTAAATAAAAAAAAAAAAACAAAAGGAGAAAATAACTGACCCCCCTAAAAAGTAGGGGAAAGTACACCTTTCTTTAAGTCTGTTTGCACTGAATTAAAAACAATCTTTCTCCTTCTCCTCCATGTGGATCTTTACTTCAGCACGACCCCAACTTTTCCAATATATATACGTCTTTCCAACTGGTCGAAAAACCAGTTTAAACCCGGGAACAATGGGTTTTTAGTGGTAGTGGGAGCAGCTCACTGACTCGTATCTACCCGGGTCCAACGACTCGGCAAGCGACCCGCGTTAAAATCTGATTGGCATGCTGTGGGAACACCAGACCCGGGTTGACCCGCTAAATTACGTGATACCATTGAACGCAACATACGGACGTCAACAAACAGCGCCATTCGATTCTGATCTAACAAGCAGAATCAACTCTGTTTGTTTCGATAAACATGGAGCAGCTCTGGTGAGGTGGGATTCAAACCAATAATAGCACGTTGACTATGCCCTGGATATGTTGCTCTCCATTGTTTACTTCCCTGATTTCTGTCACACTGCTGACTGGCTTGGAATCCTGAGGTTTAGAGTTCGAGCCCCACTCCCACAGACTGCCACTCTGGGTCTCTGAACAAAAACACTTAACCCCACGCTGCTCCCTGGGCGCCGCACAATGGCGGCCAACTGCTCCCCAAGGGGAGGGGTTAAATGCAGAGAGTAAATTTCTCCAAAGTAAGATCAATAAATTATATTTCTAGCCAGTGGGAAGGGATCCAAGTGCTGATTGTTAGCTAGTCGACTTGTTGTTGAAAAACTCGTGTTAAGCCGCTATTTTCAGTTGGAAAGAGGACTTAGTCACATTTATGGAGTTCAAAATGTTAGCAAAAGGACTTGAGAATCCGTCAGAAGATCTCAGTGTCCCTGTAAAAATAAAGGATTGATAATTAAAAAGGCAATTAGTCCTTTTTAATGTTTACATTGTTTGTTTTCCAACCCCTGATTGCAGAGTAACAGAAATTAGATCATTTTTATTACGCTTAAAATGAAATACAGAAAATATTGGAGTCAGTGATATATTTTTTACCATAAAAGTAAACTGTTAAGAAATTAAGTCCGTCTTTCAGTTTTTTTTTATTTTTTTTTATTTTTTTCATATGTGATTAAAAGTAAACTTTCTGTTCTTATTGATGCATTTTTTTCCACTACAGCAAATGGTTTGCAGCAGCGGTTTTATTTTATTGAAGCACTCTGCTTGGATAATCTTATATAATCTCCTTATGATACACATTTTAGTTTGTAACTTTACATACATGATCAGTTGCACCTTAACGTGTGTAGTGGGAAAAGAAAACATTTAGTGCTTTTCTGTTTCTGCAGCTGCTGTTTGAGAGCAAAGCATTGGTAATTCAGAAGACGGTTAGAGGCTGGCTGGCGAAGCAGCGTTTCCGGCGCGCCATGGAGGCCGTGGTCCTGCTGCAGAGCTGCGTGCGCCGCATGAGGGCCAAGAAGGAGTTAAAGAAGCTGAGAGTCGAGGCGCGCTCAGTGGAGCATTTCAAAAAGCTCAACGTTGGCATGGAGAACAAGATCATGCAGCTGCAGCACAAGATCAACGAGCAGGTGAGTTTTATTGGGATGTACAGAGATGCAGGATTTCATCAGTTAGACTCGGTTGGATGGAAACCTTTTGCAATGTATGCACCGCTGCTCACCTTTTGAAATTATTAGATTTGATATGGGTTATGCTCTTGATTTATTTGATTTCAGCAAAATCTGCAATTAAAGGATGAAAGGATGTGCTCAAAAGCAAATGATTTGATTTGCAACTTTGATTTATTCTAAATAAAAGATGTCGATATATAACATATAGTTTCTACGGGTCATTAAACATTAGCCTGGGTGCCATTCCGAACTTAGTCCCGCCCACAACGTTTGAGGTCGGGAAGTTCGGTCTGGCATTGCTCAGTAGTAGCGCGAGTATGCTTGCACAATATCTGGCGGGCCAATCAAATTGTCAGGGCGGGCTTTATACGATGATGGACAGATGATCAACAGTAACGTAATCAACCACGTGACCAAAGCGCGCTTGGGTGACAACAACAATGGCTGCCGCTGGAGAGTTGAGGTGAGTAGATTCTGCTATTAGGTCTGTTCTAGAAGATATCGACAGCAAATTAATTTTAAAAGAGGAACAGAGAAACGCGATCAAGGCTCATCTTCTTATTCTAGACGTGCAACTGCACGCTTTGATTTTTGTTGACAACAACTATGCGTGGCTTAACATACGTCACGCACTCCGTTGCTCTTATTGGTTGTAGGTCTATCCAATTGAGTGCAGAGGCATTTTTTTTCCTGGTTCGTTCAAAACACGCCCCATAATCACAGCTCTATGGAGCAGCATCAGACTCATTCTGACTAGAATTGAGTCGGACTACGTCAGGCTACTTAAACATCAATAAAAGTCATTAAATTAACATGTTTTAAAATAAGGCCTTATTTGGCATTAAAATTCATTAAATCTGTTTATCGTGACATTTAAAGTGCTTTATTAAAAAAACACGTTTCTAAAAACAATTTTGTCAGATATATTATAACAGATATAAATGGTTCCGCGTGTTTGGGTGGAACTGCTTCCGGTTAGTTGAGAAAAAGCCAGAGAATGGGAAAATGCTCATTTCAACAAAAGTGGCTGGAAAAGTTAACCTGACTCCGCCAGATGGATTTGCTCCGCATATCCATCTGGAAACCTTCCGCTGAAGTAATTTTGGGAAGGGGCGAAAATACTGGTTAGCTGATTGGCCTATGTTGGTGATAGACGGGCCAAATAAACCAATCAGATCAACGAAGCATATGACGTACTAACAGAGCGACGACGAAGAGGGGCCAATTGATAGATCAAACTCTTGCTGAAACCAGTTGGGAGAAGAGCAAAAACATCTTTTCCTCTGAGAAAAGCCTCCAGAGCAGTGTTTTGCTCTTCTTTCAGTGAAGAAATACTCTGTAATTCCGATAAAACTTGCTCGATAGCCACGCTAACGCTAGTTTCATCGGCTGAAGCCGCCATGTTCTTTAGACTGAACTGTCGCGCTTCTCGTTGCGTCACACCTCAACCCGCCTCAAAGCCAACGCTGATTGGACGTTCGTTTGGTGAACGGCTCCAAATTTTCTTTAACGGAGAGTCTCCAGACTGATCTGCGAGTGAAACCTTGAAAGCTCGAGATCAGGATGGTCTCACCAGGCTATGGAAAAGTGGCAATAAAATTATTTCTAAGAGCATTTAAAGAGCATAAAAAGCATTGAATTAGATTTACTCATTCCTATATAAACCCTGTATAAGTATCCAACTTTTGTGATGTAAATTGTTTGTTCTGTACGTTTTGAATGGGATGTCTGTTTCAATATGAAAAATCAATAAAAACACTTTGATTATTATTAAAAACACACCATGTAAAGAATGACTAGAGATTTTAGATTGTTAAATTCTTAAATAGAGACCCTGTGGCGCATCATTAGAAAAATGAGGTAATATTTCTCCACGGTTTCTTCTGTAATCATCTGAGATGATGTGTATAATAAAACCCTGGGTCCGTGCCGTTGTCATATCACATGCAAATCATGTGTTCATGTCCCCCTCCTGCAGCATAAAGAAAACAGAGAGCTCACAGAGAAGCTCAGCGTTCTGGAGAAGACCAACTCCACCGAGAGAGAAAAACAGAGCAGAGAGATAGAAAACCTGCGTAAATCTGAGCAGGAGGCCAGAGGTAAGGCAGAGACGGTTCCCTCGCTGCTGGAACAGCTGTCCTTCCTTCAGGAGGAGCTGGAAAATACCCGCAGAGAGAAGGAGGAGCTGGAGGTCCACACAAAGACTTTGAAAGAACAGACCCGACAGGTAGGCTTTCTTAGCATACCTGCTAACGATCTGGATTGATGGCTTTAGACTTATCTCCAAGACTTGAGCTTAAAATAAACTTTTTGTTTTTTGAAATAAGTCATTTGTTTTTCCGTCTTCAATCTTTTTGTTGTTTCTTGCTTTCTTGACGTGAAAATAAACGTGCCTGAAGAATGTTTGAAGACTGGAGCACACTGCAAAAAATTAAAATCTACATAAGTCATTTTTTCTTGTAATAAGTAATTTTTTTTTTTTTGATTTGAGGAGGTAATTGAGACACTTTGCCAATGGAACAAGACAATTTACATTTAAAATAAGAAAACACAATTGCATTGTGTTATTTCACGTGCATATTATCTAATTATCTTATTTTTAGACTAAAAATACTAATTCCATTGGCAAATTATCCCGTTTACTTACTCAAATTAATGGTAAATACACTTAATTTAAGGCATTTTTTTCTAATTTTTAGATGGTTTTTGCAGTGCAGTGATCACACTGCAAAAAATCTAAATCTACCGTATATAAGTCATTTTTTCTTAGAATAAGTGCATTTGTTCTTGAATTGAGGAGGTAAAACAAACATTTTGCAATAGAACAAGACACTTTACACTTAAAATAAGAAAACACAATTGCATTGTCTTATTTCAAGTGCATATTATCTAATTATCTTATTTTAAGAGTAAAAACACTCATCCCATTGGCAAACTATCTCATTTACCTACTCAAATTAAGGGTAAATACACTTAATTTAAGAAATTTTTACTTATTTCAAGATCGTTTTTGCAGTGCACCTATTTACACTGGGAAAAAAATCTAGAAATAAGTAAAAATTTCTTAAATAAAGTGTATTCACTTTAAATTTTAGTAGGTTAATGTGATGATTTGCCAATGGAATGAGCATTTTTACTCTTAGAATAAGATATTTAGATAAAATGCACTTGAAATATTAACAGGAGAAGCGGCGCAAGTGAAATTAGACACCACCGTCGGACAACATGCAGTAATTCATAAATGTTTTAAATCAGGCGGGTCCGGATCTTTTAAATGTAAATTGTCTTGTTCCATTGGTAAAATGTCTCTTTTACCTCCTCAATCCAAGAACAGATGCACTTATTTTGAGAGAAAAATGACTTTTCTAGATTTTGATTTTTCCAGTGATGCTTTAGCCTTCAACTTGTAGATTTTGATTGTTGTGTAGATTAGGAGTTAATCTCTTAAAGCCCAAACGCAATAAGTACCAAGAAGATCTAACTATGTCCTGTTCTAGACGATCCATGAGCTGAATATGAAGAACAGCTTGTTAAAAAGCAACATAGAAGAACTAAACCAGGAATTCTCCATACAGGCTCAGCAGTTAACAGGTAGTGGAGCTTTTTAATTGTTAAAGATGAAGGGTGACATTAAAAAGTTGAGTAAAAATATCTTTTTTTTCTGCTCAGAAATTAAAAATACCTTGGAGAACAGCAAACAGCTGGAGAAGGACTTGACAGAAGAGCGCTGTCGCTACCAAAGTCTGCTGAGTGAACATCTGCAACTGGAGGAACAACACAAGGATCTCAAGGAGGAGATGAGCGTCAGTGTGGTAAGGAACATTTTATTTTATTGCACGGTGAAAACACAACATTATATTTGCATAAATGCAAAGCTGCAAAAGTGCAGCATGCATTGGTTTTACCCTCTGAACCCCATTTCAGTTTTTTCTAGAACCATCTTGCAACCGTCTTTGGGGTTTTGTCTCCACCAGCTTCGTACATCTAGACCAGTTCCTGAGGGCCGCTATCCTGCAGCTTTTAGATGTGTCTTTGGTCAAACACACTTGAATCAAATGGCTGAATTACCACCTCTATATGCTGTCAGTTTCTTCAATCCTCTTTATCATCTATTTACTTGAATCTGGTGTTTTAGACCAATTAAACCTCTAAAAGTTGCAGGATAGTTGCCCTGAGGAACAGGGAATTGCCACCACTGATCTAGACCCTAAAGAGGGTTTTCGATTATTTGCAATCAACCTACACTGTGAAAATAATCTAGAAATAAGTAAAGATATCTTAAATTAAGTGTGTTTACCCTTAATTTTAGTAGGTAAGTAAGAGGATTTGCCAATGGAATGAGTATTTTTACTCTTAAAATAAGATAATTAGATAAAATGCACTTGAAATAAGACAATGCAATTGTTTTTTCTTATTTTAAAGTTAAATTATCTTGTTCCATTGGCAAAGTTTCTCACTTACCTCCTCAGTCCAAGAATAAATGCACTTATTTTAAGAAAAAATGACATTTTTTGCAGTGTAAGCTGACTCAGATTAGATGGAAAGCATCCAAACGGCAAATGTCATATGCTAATCTCCCTCAGATTGTCAATCTAATCTACACTGGAAAAAATCAAAATCTAATTTTTTTTTATTTTTTTCTTAAAAAAGTGCATTTGTTCTTGGATTGAGGAGGTAAAAGAGACATTTTGCTAAAGGAACAAGACAATTTCCACTTAAAATAAGAAAACACAATCATATTGTCTTATTTCAAGTGCATATTATCTAATTATCTTATTTTAAGAGTAAAAATACTCATTCCATTGGCAAAATATCTCATTTATCTACTCAAATTAGGGTTAAATGCATTTGAGAAATGTTTTCTTATTTCTAGATAATTTTTCCAGGGTAGATCTGGATTTGGGTTTAGTGAATCTTCCCTTCAACCAGTCTGGGGGTCTTTTGCATCCTCTTACTGGTTTTACTCCTCATCATTAGCTCCATCAATATTGAAATCAGCTCTGACCAGCTTTCCGACCCCATCACCACAGCACCATGCTGTCACTACCCTGCCTCACCATGAACACCGGGATCTGCAGTGTTAGTTTTCCACTTTCACTAGTGTCCACAGTTTCATTTAGAGGAATAATGGTAGTAATTCCTCAAGCATGACTCTAAATTGGATTTTTATTAAACTTTTTTTTTAATGATATAAAAATGTTATATTATTATCCAATGAACTGAGTTAATTTTAAATGTGCCTCTAATTAGATTTCTAGCAAATTCAGCCACCAGAGAACGGACTCCAACTACAGCAGTAATTCATCTGAGTTTTCTCAAATCTTGAGTTCCACTGAGGATGAAGAGGGCTTCACTCAAGCAGAGGTAAAATATGCACTACCTGCACATATGAGTGTGACTTATGCTTGCTTTTATTGGAAATGAAAAGTTGCTTTGTTTTAAAGAAATGTGCTTCTCTCTGTGTTGCCAAAACAATGTTGTCTTGAAGTCTTATGTGTTTCGCTGAGACTCTTATACAGCAAAAACTGCAATATTATGACCAAAGGCTATTTGATCAGATTTCCTTTAAGGGGGAGAAAAAAAAGAAAGAAAAGCAGCTCTCCCCTGGAACACCGCTCACCGAAAACAAATATACACCCACAAATTTTGTCTCTGTTTTTTGGCATCCTCTCTGGTGAACTTGATGTTATGGTCGACCGAGTTGATGTGTCTTGTGAAAGCTTCCGCTTCTTTTAGCTGGATTTTGGACGAATGTGTCATCCACATATCTAAACCAGTGGCTTGGTGGTGTTCCTCTGAAAGTCTCCAAAATTCTCTTTTCCATCTCTTTCATGTAAAGATTGGCTACAATTAGTGACACTAGAGATCCCGTGGCACAACCACGCTTCCATCTGTAAAAATGATCCCTGAAGTTGAAATAGGTTGTGGAAAGTCAAAGGTCCAAGGGCTTTTTCAATTCCCAGGTTTTTTAAACAAAAACCAGGCTTTGTTGGGCTACTGTGTAAAACCTGGAACTCAACGCCATTTCTGACATTTTTAATTGAAAAAACTTCCTGGATGGGAAGAGAAATGTCTCAAACTTGGAAACAAAGTCCAGTGGATTGTTTTATTTTTTAACTTTTTTGGAATGACCATGACCTGGATGATTGAGAATCTTCACCAGCATACGAACTAAATGCTGCTTCTCCATGTTTGGTTCTAGTTCTAGGTGGACAGAGTAGGCTGGAACTAGAGGACCTGAGTGGTCTGTGAGGTAGATCCACTGATAACAGATCTGTGATGGATTGAGCTGCTGGTCTACTCGGTGATTTCTAGTCTAACAGGATGATTTTAAAGTCTATTCTCTGAGCTACAGCGAGCCAGTGGAAGGACTTCAGAACCGGGCTGATGTGCTCTACTTGCTTAGTTCTAGTGAGAACATTGGCAGCAGCGTTTTGGATCAGCTGAAATGAAAGAAACTATCAATTAAAGTTTGTCAATATTCCTACAGGATCCGTCTGAGAAGAAAGTGGACCTGCCCATTCTTCTAAAGCTCCAGAGACGAGTGAAGGAGCTGGAGGAGGAAAATCGATCTTTATGGCATCAGCTGGATAAAAAAGAGGAAGCTCAGCAGGAAAAAGCTAAGGTATAAAATTATTCCTTAAAGATCGTTTTTAGATTTTTAGTTCCTCTGATTAACTGTCTGATGTTTGAAATGTGTCTTTCTCTAAAACTCATTAGGAGGTGGAGAAGCAGACAACTGTTGGCAGAACAGAACTGGACGTAGAAAAAATAAAGGTGAGACTCACTAGAAAAACTTAATATCAAAATATTTCTAGAGTTTTGATCTTGAACCTGTTTTTTTATGTAGCGGCAAGAGCTGGAGTCAGAGAACAAGAGGCTGAAGCAGGATCTCAGTGAGTTGCGGAAGTCTCTGACTAATGAGAACAGTGATTTGGCGCCCCCTGCTGCAGGTTCTTTGCCCTACAACATTCTGCTGGATCAACTCAGTTCTTCCAACGAGGAGCTGGAGATGCGTAAGGAGGAGGTGTTGCTCCTCCGTTCACATATGGTTCGTCAGGAAGCTCTTAAACACAGGGTGAGAAGCTAGAAGCCCCGCCTTTCTTTCTAGAAGGCTTCAGTAATGATGCAGTTTTTCTGTAACCTTCACTTCAGGACTCTGTACTCGGAGAAAGTGTGAAACTGGATCTCAGTGAAATCCACTCATTCCAAGATTCTGACAGGTAAGAACCACCCGGCTCGGTTTTTATTTATAAGTAGCTTTAAAATCTATTAAATGATTCATGTTCTTTAAATAAAATGCAGCAGAAGGAAATATAAAGAAAGATAACCGATCTACAGAGGTGGTAAAAGTATTCCTGTTTATTGATCCAGTATAAATCCTACTGTTTAAAAACACTTTTGTAGAAGTTAGAGGATCAACTTCAGCTTTTTACTCGAGTAAAAATGTAAAACTTTTCCTCCTCCTGCTTTAAATAATAAACCTACTTAAAGTATGAAAGTAAAATTAATGCAGGAAAAAATGTTAGGGTTAAGCTTTACTGCTCTACTCTATTTTTTATAAAATTCTGGATCATAACTTCCTTAGACTTCATTTTCTTAATTTTATAATGATTGATAAGTGTTAGATTTAACTTTGCATCATCTTTA